AAAAAAAGAACAATTACAATTAGTTTAGGCTTAGAACTGCTCTAGCGAATTCTTCTGAATGTGAAGAAGTAACCGGTTTATTATAGAACTTATTAAATGTTTCCGAAGCATGCGTCCACCCTGCAGTTTTACGTATTGTTTCTATATTAACACCTTTTCTATATGCAGCGGATGTAGACGCATGTCTCGTACTATAACCAGAGAAAATTTCTGTATTTATTCCACTTTCGTAAAGTGTTGATTTCAACCATCGGCTGATAGATTGAGTTGTGGCTCTATGAAAAGGTTTTTTATAGGTGATAAATAAAAAACGTTCGTTTTCTGGACGTAAATTTTTAGTTTTTTCCATATAGTGTTGGAGAACTGATGCCACACAGAGTTCAGGGCATTCTTGAAAGAATGGCAAGACAATAAACGGTTGATACCTATTTTTTCCTGACGTTTTTACTTTTTCTGGTATTTTAATTTCTATTTTATTATCTAATATTACTATATTTTTTAATTCGATTAAAGAAAATGTCTGGACTCTATGACCTGTCGTGAGCGCAAGAAGCATAGCTAGTTTAAGAGTAATTTGGCGAAGATTTAATGACTGCAGTGGATGCAAATTTTTCAGGAAAGATAGAACTGGATTAGGATCCCATGTTGAAGCGTATTTCGGAGTAGGTGGTTTTTTATTGTATATTCCTTTGAGTATTCTTTTTAATACTTTTTCGTCTTCTAATTTAATGGAAAATAAAAAGGCAAGCGCGGATTTATGAGTGTTAACATTTGAATATGATATTTTTCTTTCTGAAATTTCTATAAGGTAATTAGATATTTTTTCTAGACTATATTCATACGGATTTTGTGTGTGTTTAATTGAAAATTCCCACCAATTTTTAAGAACGCTATTATATTGTTTCAATGTATTTTCCGAAATAGAGTTCAACATAGTAGGGATTGCTTTTTGTGGAATTTTATTTTCTATCCATTTTTTCCTGACAAATTCCCTGCAACCAGGGTAAGTGATTTGTATAGTGGATGCGGCAGGCTGAAAGGAGAAAGAATTAAGTCATATTGAGGTTGAAAATAGAGTGCCTTAGTACATAAAAGTTTATGAAAAAGCGGGTACCACGGTTGAGTGGGCCAATTGGGAACTATTAATATTCCTTCCGCGTTTTCTTGAATTATTTTGTCTAATATTCGCGATATTAATGAGAAAGGGGGGAACGCGTAAAAGTATTCGTTTTGCCAGCTTACAGTGAATGCGTCTACATTTTCTGAGTAAGGATCGGGACCCCACGATATGTACCTTTTGCATTTTTTATTAAGCATAGATGCAAATAGATCTATTGTGGGGTAATTAAATTTTGAGCAAATAATATCGAATACTTTATCGTTTAATGCATATTCTGTTTCTATGAATTGGGATCTAGACTGGCGGTCAGCGAGATAATTGTCTTTGGTAGGAATATATGACGCAATTATTTCTATATTTTTTGTTTCGCACCAAAGCCATATTTTATTTGCAATATTATTTAATTTTGGGAATTGAACACTTCCTTTTTTATTTATGCAAGCTATTGCTGTTTTATTGTCTATGCGCAATAAGATTGCGCAGTCTTCATAATTTTTTGCAAAGGATTTTAACCCGTAAAAGGCTGCTCGTAATTCCAATTGATTAATATGCAAGTTCTTTTCCTCGTTTGACCAAAACCCCTTTGTTTCTATTCCGTTCGCGTATGCTCCCCAACCAGACTGTGATGCATCAGTATAAATCTCGATATCGAAGTTTGTTGGGGTTTTCATATTTTGATAAGATGAGCTTAAATTATTTGACCACCACTCTAAATCTTGACGTGTGTATGAAGGTATTTGAATTTTTTTATTATAATTTTGGGGTTCACTTTTTAGAGCTTGGAATTTTGCTCGTTCTAGATTTTTTATGTGTGCCCAACCATATTTAACAGCTGGGCACGCTGAGACTAATTTCCCGATTAAACTTGCAAAATCTCTTATTAAACAATAATTTTTGTTTTTTATTTTATTTAATAATTTATTTATTTTGAGTTTTTTGTCATCGGGTAACGTTAGGGTCATGTTTATACTGTTATAGAGGAAACCTAAAAATTTTATTTCTTGAGAGGGTGATAATCTACTTTTTTTGTAGTTTATTAGAAAACCTAGTTTTGTTAACGTTTTAAGTGAAAGTTTTACTGATTCGGAGCATTCTTTTTTTGTTTTCCCTATTATTAATAAATCGTCCAGATAAATGACGCAGAGAATGTTTAGTTTTTCGCGAAGGTATTGAATTACTGGTTTTAGGAGTTTTGTAAATATATAAGGGGCAATATTAAGTCCAAATGGTAGGCACTGAAATTCAAAGATTTTATTTTCATATTGGAATCTTAAGTATTTTTTATGAGGTTCGAAAATTGGCAAAAGATAATATGCATCTTTCATATCTATGGAAGCAAGGAAACATTTTTCTGATATTAATTTAGAGGCCGTCCTGTAATCTTCTAATTTAAAGTGATTTGTTTGGATAAATTTGTTAAGGTTTTTTAAATTTAAAATAAATCTATATTTTCCATTAGGTCTTAAAGCCATAAAATATCTGGAGAAAAATTCATTTTTCTTTGACCTCTTTTCTACAATTGCTCCCATATTTTTTAGGTCTTTTATCGCAAAATCATATTCTGCTTTTTCATTACAATTTATAATAACATTTGGTTTCACGTTTTGTTTTGGTAATTTAATGAAAGGGATTTTTATCCCTTGAATCCATTGTAAAATGGATTTATTTTTAGTAATACGTGTCCATTTGTTATAAAAATGTTTTAAGCGACCAGCGTGAAAGCTTACCTCATTTAACGTCTCCTGGTTGGACTCCGCCTGCGATGATTCTGATGATAATCCCTGTTGAATTTCTTCTTCGGACTCTGACGACGTCGCGAGTAGTTTAAATGCTCTCGTTGCTTTTTGTTATTTTTTGAATTATATTCCGACGATTGTGGTTGTTGGTTTGATGTGGATGGTTTGTTTGTGAAATTTTTTTTGGATATTATTTTTAAATCTTTTGCGACTTTTTGAACAGCTTCTGTCGCTTTTACATCTTCGGCAAACTTTGAACCTAAGAGGAATTCATCTCTACTACTATTTTCTATCAGTTTTCTTGAATTATAATTTAAGTAAGGCAGGATTTGGTATTTCCTGCTTGTAGTGATAGCGTGATGAATATTGCATAGCAGTTGACCAATGTCTGCGAGGGCGGAACACGTTTCTTTTGATTTTTCTTGATCTTCTGACTTTAGAACTCTATTTAATTCAACTCCCGTTGCTGATAGGGCATGGGCAGTTTGAAGTTGGAGTTTCTCCAAAAATTGATCATGTCGTGTGGCTTTATTATCCATGCATTGTTGGATTTCTGCATTTAATTTAGGTGGTGTCATCAGTTTGCAGTTTTCAAAAATTGGATATTTTTTCATTAATTCCTCCTTTTGTTCTTTATTTAATCCTTGTTTCAGGTATACATCCCAACGCAAACATATTTCCTCATGTAAAGGGTCAATTTGTTTATTTAAATTATCGGGATTTGAGCCGAGCAGGTCAATAAGTATATTTGGGTTTTCCTCGGTTGTTGTGGTTTTATCCTTGTCCTGTTCATTGTTTGTCTCCACAGTTGGGCCCGAAGAATGTGTCATTTCCTCAGTATCGCCTACAATAATAAAATTAATGTAGTGAGTCTCTGAAGTCTATAGCGAGACTTTATGAGAATAATTGTAACTTTTTCGTATACAATTATAATATTATATATATATATATAAAATATTATAAGGTATAGACTTATAGCGAAGTCTTTTTATAATTGTAATTTTTTCTGGACCTATAGCGAGGCCTTTTTTTTTTTTTTTTTTTTTTTTTTTTTTTTTTTTTTTTTTTTTTTTTTTTTTTTTTTTTTTTTTTTTTTTTTTTTTTTTTTTTTTTTTTTTTGTTGATTTTATAGCGAAAATCGATTGTTACTTACTTGCAGATGATGATGATGACGAGGAGTCGTATTTACTCGCACTAGAAGAATTAGAGATATCATCTCTAATTCGTCGCACCTCTTCCAAAATAGCATCTAATTTTCTTTTCTTATTAGCACGATCACGGTGATGTTTAGATCGATCTTGGTTACGGTCACGATTATTGTATTTAGCACGTTTCATTTCTACTTATTAAATTTTTCGTGTTGTTCTGTCGGGTACAAATAACGAAGTGAGGTAATCAGAGAGGACACCGGCCGAAGAGAGGCAGAGTGGGGATTTTCGAGAATTTGATACCTGGGTGCTGTAAACTTGTACTGTTGGGTGTAAATAAGGAAATACTACCGGGTGTAATTATTGAGGAAGACGAGCGAAAAATAATTAAAAAAAATTTAACCATAAAATTAAATATTTGTAAAAAACAATAATTATAGTGACAACTTTCGCAGCTTATTAAATAATTATAGTTTATTATTTAATATATTTTTACTATTTTTTGCCCAGAAAGATGAAAATTCTTATATATTCCCTGCAGTTACCTAAGTTTTCTGTGCGACGAGAGGCCTAATACGGGCGCTCGTAGCACGAGGGACCAAGTAACTACCAGTTACCTAAGTTTCTCGTGCGACGACCCTCGAATCAGCATACCGGTAACTACATTTTTAATAATTTATTGAATGTTTAAACAAATACAACATTTATTTTTACATAATTAAAAAGAATAAATTTAGACGAATCGAAGGAACAAAACGGCATTTAAAAATTTTAATTAGGCTTTGCGGTACATATCAATGAAGTTTAAACAGTTTTTCGCGTTTTTCTCGAAATCTTTCATTCTGCAGTTACCTAAGTTTTTAGAAAACACGGCAGACAACGTTTATGATATCTCAATAGCCTCTGATCTATATTTTTTTCTAACATTATCAAATATATTCCTACCTTGAAAATTTATTTTTGTGTACCTATTTCAAAAAAAAAAACAATTTGCAGATTCTGTCTACTGTGAGGCTTAAGTGAAAAAAGAGGCTATGGAAGAGTAATTTTTAAAACTGAAAAAATCCTCAGTAATGAAGAATCGGACTCTGGACCTTGATCAAATTCCAGTAGAGAAGCAACTTAGTAATCCTACACAGGTAATAACTAAAAATGCTAAATTTTTTATGAAGTGAAAAAGTAGTTTATTTGAAATTTCTTGAAAGCATATAACCATTAATGAATCATTAACCTACTGCGTTTATTAAATGCTAACAATTCGAAAGTTTAATCCCAAAAGTTGCTGTAAAACTGAAGGGGGTTACATCAATTGTAACGCGAAAAAAAGATCTTTTTCAAGAATGTTTTCTTAATAAATCATGAATTTTTTTAAAAATATAATTTATTATCTAAAAGTACATGTCTAGAACTTTAATTAACAACACCAAAAAAATTTTTTTTTATCAAGAACTTTAACGAAACTGAAGTACGCAACGTTTATGATAAATGATTTTTAAAGAAATAAATTTTTAAAATGAAAAATTCTATAATTTTTCGCCTAAAAAATATTTCTTATAGTTTTCATTAATCAATAAATTATAAAAAAATATTTTTTAGACAAAAAATTATAGAATTTTTCATTATAAAAAATTATTTCTTTAAAAATCGTTTATCATAAACGTTGTGTACTTCAGCTTCGTAAACTTTATGTGTAATGAGCCAATAAAGTGACTCCTTCGGGAAAAACATGAAATCCGGTGACCAGAATTCCGCAAGTATAGTTCATCTAAAATGCAAAAATGAAATTGATTTACATTTCTTATAAGATTGTCTAGTTCCCAATCGAAGGATTTAAATAAATAGCTGAATCAACATTAAAATTTACAGACACACTTCTAAAAATATATAGTTTAAGAAAATGCAAAATAAAAAATAATCGATTTTTCGAAAGTTACAATTGATGAACCCCCTTCTAAAAATAACCAACTTTAAATCTGATTAACTGACAAATCTATAAGAATAAATATCTAATTAAAATTAGGAAGCAAAAGTCTTTTTAGTCTAGTTATGAACCAAAGAAGAAGTTATGATTTTTTGAAATTTAACGTCAACGATGGAAGTGTGTTTTTAGGACATTTTTTAATCTATTGTACTAATAAATTAAAAATTATGCTATACATGAAATTTGTTCATTTTTTCTTAAATTTTTTAAATATCTGCTCAAAAATAACGTACCTATAAGAGAAGTAACAAAAAAGTTGAAATTAAACTCAAAAAGTGAGTTTTCTCAAAAGAGACACTTTCGATTTTTAATTTTTTTCTTGCATTACAATCTTTGGTGATTGAAGAATTTTTTCCCTATCTGCGAAAGTGGTACTTTTAGTTTTTAAGTTACTATTTACAATTTTTATAGTATGGCTCACAGAATTTAAGCAGTTATTTTACAAATATAACCTTTTTCCATTATTATTCATTTGTTTTTTTTAATTTTCATAAAAACATACTAAAAATCGTTGCGTCAAGCTTAAAAATTGTAAATAGTAACTTAAAAACTAAAAGTTCCACTTTCGCAGATAGGGGAAAAAATTCTTCAGTCACCAAAGATTGTAATGCAAAAAAAAAATTAAAAATCGAAAGTGTCTCTTTTGAGAAAACTCACTTTTTGAGTTTAATTTTAACTTTTTTGTTACTTCTCTTATAGGTACGTTATTTTTGAGCAGATATTTGAAAAATTTAAGAAAAAATGAACAAATTTCATATATAGCATAATTTTTAATTTATTAGTACAATAGATTAAAAAATGTCCCAAAAACACACTTCCATCGTTGACGTTAAATTTCAAAAAATCATAACTTCCTTCATTTTTATCAAATAAAAAAATAAAAAAATACGTATATCCTTATTTTTCATATAGATTTCGAAAAAAAATGTTTCGAGGAAAAAAAAATTTTCAATGACAATCTCCCGTGGAATGCCCCATATAGAATATAGAATATAATACGACATATTATATTTTACTCCGTGGGCATGAATTTTATGCTTTTAAAGTACGTCTTGCTTACCATAAGAGTATAACTATTACACTTATTTAGCATGGACTTACTTTAAGCTAAAAATGTAATAATTTATACTTCGATAGGTATAAACAAAGTTACCTGCTATTAAAGGATAAAACAGTTTCATGCTAAAAAAGGCTAGTAATCCGTGTGTAATTAATAGAGTAGGTTCAAAATAATATCTAATTTTCTGAACCTGCATACATCTTCCCTATAATTTATTTATTGATATAAAACTTCATTTTCTGAACATGAAATTGTGTTTTTTTCACTAAGTTATATAGAATATGTTTAAACTTGTCATCCGTTAATAATAATAATCTATTTTTAAAATTTATCCATAACAAATAAATTTTGAAATGAAAGTGGAAAAAAAAATTGTAAATTTTAATTAATTTTGATAGAGAAGCACACTGGTTGTTGTGTGTTTCTTATTAAAAATGTTGAACCATGAATATTGATGTGTAGAGAAGGTCAACAAGATTAAACCGATATCCATGATAAGGCTGTACATATTATAAAATGGAGATCACACATTGGCGGTGATGAGACTATAAACATAACGTCACAATTCACACGTTAATTATACTGTGAAATTTAAATAGAAAAAATACAAAATTTCAAACGGTATGAGTATTAAAAATATAATAAATTATGCATCTAGACACTTATTATTCTCACCAAATTATTATTTATTTAAATTAAATAAATATTTGTTTTAGGGGACATTCAAGTATTACGTAAGCATATTTTCAAGGGTTTTAGACACTCCTCCCTCCCTCCCTCAAATAAGCATATTGCAATGGAAAAAATAAAAATTTTGTATGGTACATACGTATAAGCAACTGAGGAGCCCCTCCCTCTCCCTTAGATGCTTACGTAATACTCGAATAATCTCTTATACGAATTACATTTTATTTGGGAATAATGAATTATTTTTTTTGTTTTTATAAATGAATTGACAAAAAAAAATGAAAATTTCCGGTTTTTCTTACAAGTAATTTACCGATAAAAAAATTGTTTTTAAAATTCATTTTTGTTAGTGTAAAGTCATAAAATGTGATTTTTAATACAAACCTTTTCTGACTTGTATATCTTTATCAAAAACCAAATTGTAGAACTTTTTGAAATGCTTTTAACTGCCATGGTTAGAAGTTATATTCAAAATTTTTTATATTTTCATATATGATTGAATTGTATTGTTTCGTGGATTCACTCATATCAATTTAGTTCAAAAAATTTTAATTAGGGTAATTGTGTCTAATATGGCCACCTAAATGTATTTACTGTTATTGTATTTAAACTATAATTTTTTAGAGTTAAATAACTATGAGAAAATATTCTTTAATATTTAATTTAACTATTTCAGGTATTTAGATTCAGTTAGAAAAAGTTTAAATAAAAGAAAAGTAACAAAAAAAATTTTTTGGCCACCCAAATTGGAAATACTTTTAGAATTTAATACTTGGTATAAAGATAAAAATTTTACAAAAAGTAAAATTCTTAAATTATATTTCGATTATTTTCTTTATATAACCGCATTTAATATTTCATTCAATTGTGTTGAAAATATTATATTTTTTATATCTTATGAAATCGTGTAAATTTTGTAAAATTATGTGAATAATTAAACATAGAAATATTTCTACTTTAAACAGTAAAAAATTTTAAGAAATTTATTTCGTTTACATAAAGTCCAAAATATTCGTAATTTATTTTGAATTTGTCAAAAAAATGAAAACATAACCTCAAACTTGTTTTTTAATCTGACAAAATACATTTTTAAACTTAAAATACAAGAGGGTTTAATTAAATATGACAAAATACATTTATTCAAAATTTTAAACATTTATTTCGAATAATCTTATTTAATATTTTATATTAACCGAACAGATAAAAGAAATAGGTAGGCAGTTAAAGTGTCAATGCGCGCACTTCTTTGGTGGCCGTTTTAGACTGATCGACGTTTTTTTACTTTTTATTAAATTTTAAAGAAATAAAGTAAAAATGAAACTTGAACGATAGGTAGTTAAAAAGATGATAAAATTTATAATTTCTTAATAAAAAAATAACTGACAATATTGCTAAATTATGTTATGATAAATGCTCTTAAAAAGCAAGCAAAAATTCTTTTTTTCAGACGTAAAAACGATTATTACATTTTATTTAAACAATTTAAAGTTTTATTACATGAAACAACTTGGAAATAATAGATATTATCTTTAGAAATGAGAATGTAATGTCAGTAGTCATGGATTTTCAATCAGAAGTGTTTCACGGTGCGCCAGAAGATGGATTAAATAAAAATGAATTGGCACTTAAAAATTCTTTTTGATTATGATTCTTAGATGAATAAAAAACATTTCTCAATAGTTTTTAAAATCAGTTTACTTTCCCGATTTAAATAAAATTGAGTTTTTATATAAAAACAGTGTTTTATGGGGAATCAGAATTTATTTAATCTAATAAATACTGTAATAATAAATAAAATAATTACTTATTTTTAATTTTACATATAAATAATTATATTGCTATAGTGTTTGTGTCCGATTTTAAAAAATTAAATTTTAATGTTAAAAGAACGATATGAAGAGTGACAAAATTTATTTAAGAGAGTCGAATGGTCTCTGAAATTTTTTGGCAAGAAGAGACCTTTAATTATCGCTCTATAAAAACGGCGCTAAACGTGAAAATGATAAACATTGATTTTAAAATACTTTCTTCTCGAAAGACGGACACTTTTTACAAAAGCAGCTAGAGATCCTTATCTTATATAAATTTCCTAAATCCTAAAGATTATACGAATCCATACAAAAACACGATTGCAAAACGAAAAGTAATATAATGACAGGTAAATTACCTCCTGCCGCCGTCAGATGGCAGCAGCATGCAGGGCGCACAAAGTCGCAGCTGTTATTAGATTACTTTTCTACTTTTTGTTTTGCAACCATGTTTTTCTATGGATTCGTACAGTCTTTTGGATTTAGGAAATTTATAAGATGAGGATTTTGGATGATTTTTTTAAAAGTGTTCGTGTTTCGAGAAAAAAGTATTTTAAAATCAATACTATTTCACGTTCAGAGCGATAATTAAAGCTCTCTTCT